ACATTTTGCAAAAGGTAAAGCATGGATCTGAAGATAATGCAGAAAAATGCTCAGAGGATAAGGATAACTTGCCAAAAAGAAAACGCTCTCGGTTAATTAATAGTGTTTTTAGTGATGACAAAAAAAACGTTTAATTTACATTAATATGTATCACTTAAAAGAATTTTAATCAAGATATTTATCTTAATTATGAAAATATACTAGCATGTTTTTTTAATTATTGGAACCTAACCCTCCTTTTCGTATTAGTTCTTTGTTTCGTATAACACGGATTCGCATAACACGGCAATTTTTTGGAACGTAACTACCGTGTTATACGGGGGTTACCTGTATTTCTGTGAGAAATACTTTCTTTCTCTTATGACATGTTCGAATATTTTAGGGTCATTTAAAAATTTTTCGAGTGCAAGTTAAATACTATAAAGAATTTACATAAATTTATTCTATATGTAGCGTTTATAAATCGTATAACGTAATGTTGGTTAATAAATAAATAAATCTCTGCTACTTTTTTAATACAGGCGTAATTCTGACTGATAACATTACAACTCAGTATCAAGGGTTTGTTAGCACACAACTTCTTAACAGTGTTTATCTGTTTTATATATTATGCTATGTCGTAATTAGGTATTTTTACATGTCTTGATTCTTTATGTTCTGTAGGCACCAAGAAAACTTTCATACCCAATAGTAGTTTCTCTAGTCACAAAATTGGACAGGCTGGAAGGTAATAGGTGGGATCAAATATATCCCAAGTGACTAAAAGAGTAAATTCCTGAAGTTTCCAGTAGAGATTCTGTTAAGTTATCTGCCAAAATTATTCTGTTGTATTTGTATGTATACTTAAGACTCAACTGGCGCTCTGGAGTCAGTCATGTGAATGATGTGATGTTTCGGTTTCGTTTTCTCTCTAATTTGTGTTATACAGCATTTATCTAAAAATTAAAAGAAATAGTTTAATAACTTCTGGTGTTTTATTTTTAACAGATTCAATCTCAGATTCCCCAAAGCGAGAGGTTGATGCGTAGTAACTTCAGTGAACAATCGTACAGGTCTATCGCTTTTTCTCTTAGTTATTACACGATATTTAAATTGCCTTTATATAATTGTTTTTTCCTTTTTTCGGAAAATCTTTACAATGCCTTTATACATAACTTTCAATTTGCACGATATTTAAATTGCATGATTTCATTTCTTACACGACTTAATGTTTAAAATAAAATAATATATGTTCCTTGGAACCTTACATAAAGTTGCTATTAAGAACTTATATAAGAACACTCTTATTGACAGAAAAAGTGGATCATTATTTTTTTAAAAAGATGTGCATTTCGGGCCCTATGCCCCTCTTCAGTCCTTATTACTTATAATGATACTACTAATATACAAGAAATAGAAAATACAGATCCACTTTTTCTATCAAGAGGAGTGTTCCTGTATAATAAATTTTCAATAGCAATTTTATGGATGGTTCTAAGGAACATACAACCGATTGGAAGAACAGCAAGCATCCAAGTACTAAAATAATGTTATTAATTATTTCGTTCAGTTAGTAATATGCTCGCTATTATGACGTTGTAATCGCCACTACTTACAACTCAAAGAGATACTAGGCACATAACTGTAAAAAGTCGTTCGGAATTCGTTATATTTTGATCGGCGCCTGTTTTAATTAGTTTTAAGTTAAAATTAATGATGTTATCAAAATTAGAGCCCATGAGAACATTACACAAAATCAAAACAATTTTTTCAGGGTTGGAAATTGCACTTCCTCCAGCGACAGCTCTCACATATTAAATAGAAGGAACCGCCAATGGTCGGCATTAAACATAATGAAAATAATAAGCAGAAAAAGTTTACTATTTTTTTACTTTTAGAGTGATTTGATACCATATAATAAGTTTAGAATGATATGGACATTTCGTGAAACTTTTCAGGATTATTTTGTACAAAACAAATGTTACGAACAAATTGCTGAAATTCCGCATTTCTTTATATATGTGGGGTTTAGACAAGTAACATGCCTAAACTATTAAGGCAATAAATTTACGAGGGGTTGAGTGGGAGAGTCAAGTGAAGGGAGAGGCGAGAAGGAGGGAGTGTCGAGCAAGGGTAGTAGAAAACAGGACGACGGTGGGCGACGACGCAAAAGTGGAAAGTAGAAAGAAAACAAAAGACGTTACGAAGGCGAAAGCATTATTATTCCATCAAGACGGTTACGACGGCTACGAACTCTGGAAGTTTATTGTCATTTGTATAATTCTCAATCTCAATACCTTTTTCCTACAAATTTTTGGGGCTCGTCCGGAATCTTGAGAAATTCACACGAGAACTTTTAGAAGTGCAATGGAGTCCAGACAAGATGGCGGAGTTAGTGACGCCGCGGTGAACGACGAAGAACTACGACTGACTGTTTTAACTAAGGACAATACGATGCCGGATGTGAAACATCTTAAGTGTGCTGATCTGAAAATCGAACTAGGACGACGTAAATTGAAAACCACGGGTAGCAAGAGAGAGTTAGTGCAAAGATTGGAGGCGGCACTTTTGATTGAGAATGCCAGAGAAAACGACGTACAAAGCGATGACGATGCTGACGAAAGTGAGGACGAAGATAGTAATATTATGCGCTATAAAAGTGAGTATTCCAAGCCGATGTTTACTTTTAGAGATGTTGATGAATCCCTTGAAACGTTCAGTGGTGACGACGGGAAGAATGTTGTAAAATGGATCTCCAATTTCGAAGACATGGCGGAGATGTGTAATTGGAATGGCATGCAAAGGATAATTTACGCAAAACGACTACTTAGAGGATCAGCGAAAATGTACGTTAACTACGAACAATGTACCAAATCATGGCGATCATTAAAAGAAGCCCTTTGCGCCGAGTTCTCTCCTAAACTCAACAGCAGAAAGATTCATAAGCAGCTGTCAATAGAAGTAAAGCATCAAAACGAGACTTACCAGGAATATATGTATAGGATGATCGAAATTTCGTCACAAATTACAATTGAGGACGAATCGGTAATACAATACATTATCGATGGAATTCCGGATGAACAAGTATGTAAGACAGTGCTGTATGGTGCTACTACCTTTAAAGAATTCCGAAAAAAGCTGAGAATCTACGAAAACATGAGATCAAGTCGTAAGCCAAGTGATAAAATGACGGTGGGATCCAAGAAGTTAGGGCGTGAGATTAAGCCTAATAATTCTTATAGAGATGAAAAACGATGCTACAACTGTGGCGGGAAAAATCATATGAGCAGAAGTTGTCCGGAGAAAGACAAAGGAATGAAATGTGTCAGTTGTAACAATTTTGGTCATATTTCATCTGAATGCCCTCTAAATGTCGAGAAAAGAAGTTGTGAAGTAAAGGGAAAAGAATTTAAGTCAAAGCCTGTAAAAGAAGTTAAAATAGGGGAAGTGAGTTTCGCCGCCCTTATAGATTCAGGAAGTGATATAAATTTGATGAGAGCCGATGATTACGTAAAGATGGGCGCACCAAAATTAACTGGAAATTCATTGGAATTTCACGGAGTAAGCGAGTGAAAGAGTTTTACGCTTGGAAGTTTTTGGTCTGTGGTAAGTGTTGACGGAGACCAATTTTCAGTCCCCATACATGTAGTTCCTACTTCATTCCTTGCTTATCAGTTGTTGTTGGGAGCAGACTTTCTAAAACAAGTTCATATTAGTTTAAAAGGAGGTTGTATTGAGAAAATTACCAAAACAAAAGATGCAGAAGTAAATGTCTTAGACGTATACGATATTGATGTTGCCTGCGTAGACACTGGTGGAGTTGACTTGAGCCATATCAATGATGCAGGATATAGAGGGGAGCTCCTAGGTTTAATTAAGAACTACAACGCGGTCAGAGAACAAGAAACAGGAATCGAAATGAACATTATTCTAAAAAATGATGTTCCAGTTTGTCAACGCCCAAAACGACTATCTGCTAGTATGAGTTCCTACGTGCACCTTTTGGATTGTGCAATTCTCCTGCCGTTTTTCAAAAATTTATTAATACTATTTTTAAGGAACTGACTCGTCAAGGAATTGTTGTAATTTGTCGATGACTTAGTAATACCTTCTGCCGACGCCGAAACTGGTATGCAGAGACTAAAGTTAGTGTTGAAGACAGCAAGTAGTTTCGGATTGGATATCAATTGGAAAAAATGTCGCTTATTGCAGAAAGAAATAATCTTCTTAGGACATTCTATTAGAGAAGGGGAGATTATACCCTCCAGTGATAAGATAAATGCCGTAACTAAGTTTCCTGAACCGAGAGACGTTAAATCTGTCCAAAGTTTCATTGGTTTGGCAAGTTACTTCAGGAAGTTCGTACCAAATTTTGCATTGCTTGCTAGACCGCTGACTAATCTGCTACGCAAGGACTCTAAATTCTCTTTTGGCAAAACCGAACGAAACACATTTGGTAAACTGAAATCTGTGTTAAGCAGTCAACCAGTCTTGAAACTCCACCGACACACTGCCGAGACATAACTACACACGGATGCGTCGAGTTTTGGTTATGGGGCAATCTTACTGCAGAGAGACTCAGAAGACGGTTCATGGCATCCTGTTTATTATGCTAGTGGTAAGACTACTCCGGCTGAAGAAAAATACCATAGTTATGAGCTGGAAGTGTTGGCCATTGTAAAGGCTTTAAAAAAGTTTCGAATATACCTACTTGGAATACTTTTCAAAATAGTGACGGACTGTAAAGCGTTCGAAATGACGATGAAGAAGAAAGATCTATGTGTCAGAGTTGCCAGATGGGCACTCTTGTTAGAGGAATTCCATTATACAGTTGAGCACCTATCTGGAACTAAAATGAGGCATGTAGACGGTCTAAGTCGCTATCCTACCGCTGACGTAATGTTGATCGAAGAAAACAAAGATAGTGTCATAGCTAGACTCAGAAATGCACAAAAAGAAGATAGTGAATTAATGGAGATAATTAATAAGATAGATATGGAAAAGGCAAACGGTTACGAAGTAAAGAGCGGGATTCTGTACAAGGAAGTAGATGGAAAGTCGTTAATAGTAGTTCCCTTACAGATGCAAGCCGATATTATCAGGGATGCGCACAATCAAGGTCATTTTGCCGTTAGGAAAACCGAAGCACTACTGAAGCACTACTGAAAAAGGACTATTAGTTCAAGAATATTAAGATTAAAATCGAAAAGATCGTGAGAAATTGCATAAACTGTATCATAGCAGAAAGGAAAAGAGGAAAATCAGAAGGATTTTTCAATCCACTTGACAAAGGTGATCGACCTTTCGATACTTATCACATTGATCATCTGGGTCATTTGACACCGACTAAGAAGCGTTATCAGTACATATTTGCGGTTACGGATGCTTTCACCAAGTTTCTGTGGCTCTATCCCACTAAATCAACGGGGGCAGAGGAAGTTATAAGTCGATTGGAAAAACAGGCGGTTGTATTTGGTAACCCTAAGCTATTCGAATTACTACAGGCGTTCCGAGAGCCAATGGACAGGTGGAGAGAATGCATCAAGTCATTATGTCGTTGCTTGCTAAACTGTCCGCGCCAAAGCCCGAAGAATGGTATAAACACGTTGATCTGGCAATGAAATACATCAATTCCTCGTATAACCGAAGTGTTGATAGATCTGCTTTCGTGTTGTTGTTTGGTACCAGAATGCATTTAAAGGAGAACCTCGAACTACGAGAACTGATCGAGAAAGAAAAAATTTTGTGCTTTGAGGAAGAAAGGGATGAAATTAGGGCAACGGCAAAAGAAAACATTAAGAAGCTGCAAGCGGAGAACAGGAAAACATTTGACAAGAAAAGGAAACGCCCCATCAAATTCTCAGTCGATGATCTAGTAGCTATAAGGAGGACGCAATATGGGCCCGGCTTAAAAATTCATCCTAAGTACTTAGGGCCGTACAAAATTAGGAAAGTTTTAAGAAATGACAGATATTTAGTCGAGAAGGTAAATGATCACGAACGGCCAATGCACACGTCTACATCTGCTGACAACATGAAAGTGTGGGTCCGTTCAACTAATGACGTATTCGACCGGTCAAACGAAGATATCGGGGACGATGTCAGCTGTCAGGGTAGCCAAATGTGGGGTTTAGACAAGTAACATGCCTAAACCATTAAGGCAATAAATTTACGAGGGGTTGCGTGGGAGAGTCAAGTGAAGGGAGAGGCGAGAAGGAGGGAGTGTCGAGCAAGGGTAGTAGAAAACAGGACGACGGTGGATGACGACGCAAAAGTGGAAAGTAGAAAGGAAACAAAAGACGTTACGAAGGCGAAAGCATTATTATTCCGTCAAGACGGTTACGACAGCTACGAACTCTGGATGTTTATTGTCATTTCTATAATTCTCAATCTCAATACCTTTTCCTACATATATTAATATTATTGTTCACTAAATGACGAATGCACTTAATGCTATCATTCCTGTGACATTTTCAGACAGAAAAAAATAACCAAACTTTGATTTTTCAGATTGCTATTTTCTATATAAAAACACCCAGAGTAACCCTTCCATATTTTAAAGGTTCGTTCTCGTTGATAACTACTAAAACTGTGTTGGGAGCTGCTCACGTAACGTATAAGTATGATTTTTAAATTTTAAATAAAAATAATTTCACATTTTAAAAATTGTAAATGTAATATAGTCCAGTAGAAAAGAAGGTGATATTATGGAATTCGCAGGTATTATAGAACCCCTCCATTTCAGACTGATAATAGAGGCGAACTCTAGCAAATCGTGGCTGAGCTGCACTAAGCAGACATTCATAACAAAGGGAGAACGCCTCCCATTTCAGTTATGCTCAGTGAAACAGGACGTATGTATTTTTCGCAATTTCGAACTTTTGAATGGTAAGTGAATTTAATTACTTCTAAAATATAAATCATGTAGTTGTAAATTCCCTGATGCATGAGTCCCGTTCTATAGGCCTAAGAGTAGACTGCATGTTAGTCTGTCTTATGTTAACGTTTTTAAAATTTGGTGTCGACAAAAATTAAGTTAACCTAAGATGGTGATGCGTGAAATACGAACCGCATTTGTGCTTTTAATATGGAACACGACTCCTCTGGAGTTCCGTATTACCCATAAATTCAAACCATGGAATAATTTTTGTAAAAGTATGTTGTGGATGAATGAAAAAAATTAGAAATAGATACCTAAAACTATAAATAAGTAGATCTAGTTAAATTCCGAAGTTATTTTATTTGAAAAACTTCTGGATAGATAAGTGTAAAAAAATCACTTCGAAAAATCAGTTTAAAAATGATTTTTTCGAAGTGATTTTTTTTAATTTTCAGATGCTTACAGTCCAGCTGAACAAGTCAAAGAAAACCCCGACGAGAGAGACATGGAGCAAGAAGAAAATGGCAGAGGCAGTGAGTATGGTAAGAGACAAGAAAATGGAGCTGAAGAAAGCTGCAAAATTCTATGAGGTGACAAATACTACTTTGCGAACTCTCTTTTTGCAAGCAGACATTCATCCGGAGCAATTTGTGAAAAAGCCACTAGTTAGAAAACCATTTCTTCCTGAGAATATCGAAAAAAATCTGGTGGAATATATATTGTTGATGGAGGTCATATTTTTTTATTAAAACATTTTTTCGATAAAATACATTGGAGTAAATTATTTTGTAATTAATTAACTTTTTTGTACTTTTCTATTTGTTTTTGAATACATTAAAGCATTTTGTTGAAAATATACAATGGGGTTTCATATTGCCACCTGGCTTCCCAAAAACTACTTTCTGACTTTTTTACGGAAGCCTTCAAAACCCATACTTATAGTTATGCTAGCAAAAAATCTAATTAGGAACAGTTAGTTTAATTGTTACCAGTACTTTTCGCACAAAAATCTGGGCGTAGTTATGATACCTTGTTTACAATTCACTATAATGAAAATGGGGTTCCCTAATACCACCTTCCTTTATATTTAATTGTTTACAATTAAATATAAAACTATTTAATTGCTAGAATAAATAATAATAATCACTTATAACATAAATTATCATTTAAAAATGTTTTTCCATATCTTCTTATTTGAATTTTCATATTTTATAGTGCCACAGCCGAAAATTTATTTGGAAAAATCGGAAACAGTAATAAATTTATGGGAAAATTAATTTTTTTTTCGAAAAAAATTGAACATCCAAAATATAATCACAAGAAATTTAAATATGATATTGTGTTGTTAATATTAAAAGAAGATGTTTCTAATTTGTGCCTAACCAATCCAAAGCCTGTACCTATCGCTTTGCCATTGTCACACAAGGAAAATACTATGAAAGATGCAATTATAGTAGGATGGGGAGACATGGGTAAGTAAATATCTTTTAAATAAATTATTTAATATTATATGTTCCAAATATAAGTAAAACATTCAGATCAAAAATTCTATATTAAGTCATTTGAAATATATTTACATTATGCCATTCCATATATTTCAAACATGTGATAATTCCTTGATGAAAAGACAGAACTATTCTTTTTTTACAATTAAAAGATAAATAATTTTCTGGAGCAAACGAAACAAATGATTATATTTTTGTATACACGTATTACAGCCTAGGGAAGGTCATTACTAAACTGTAAAAAAGAATGATTCATACATTCATAATAAATCCATTATGTTTACGACTAATAATCCGTGTGTAGCAGGCTATTAACAGAAAAGAACTAAACAAAATAGTTATAAGTTTCCTTTAGGCTTGGAGTTATGACTGATAGATTCAGTCATATCGTAAAATCATATTCAAAAAGTTTAGACAATCCAGTTGCCTTGTGTTATACATCACATGCAGTACAAAGTTGTAATTCTTTACTAGATTCACCAGTAACTCACAAAAATTATGAATAATCTGAAGTGTTTCGCTACTGTTTTCAAACCAAAATGTCATATTGTACAATATTTAGGTGTAAAACTTGTTCCAGAAACCATCTCTTTCTTATACAAACCTTGATTAAAAAAATTTACTTGTGAATTCTGCAAATAATTTCCTACCTAGCTACAAAGGTATTGTGCAGGCGCATCTAACTGACTGGCCTAATAAAGAAAACACTATCAATTGCACATTGAAGATTTATTAGAAAACAAATAACTATTGATAATATTCAAGACGAACTATTTTCTAAAATTTAGTCGATATCGCAATATAGTAAATATATCAAAGCAGTTAGATTTACAATTTTTTCACTATATAAAAGTAACGTTTTATTCTACCTGTAGGTAAGGCCTGACGTTAGATATTTATTACACTTTATCTCAAGGCAGAACTAATGATTTATGGCCAGATCCAACAGATTCTCATCTAATATAAATCATGCTGTTTCTAAATGATGGGAAATTTTACAATCAATCCTGAATTTGTCATGCATTTCTTAGACTTGAGCAATTCCAAAATATAAAACTATTTCAATTATTCACGATTTCTTAATTTATCTTATGCCAAACAAGACTTAGCATATATATTGCACAGTATATGCACTCCAACTCGAGTAACCGCCTCCTTCCTATTTCATAACATTTTACCATAGCGGATCATAAGGGTTTCAACTTTATAATATTGTGAGAATTCTACTGTCCCGTTTATTTTATTTTTTTGTTTAATATAAAATTTTAGAGAAATAATTAAAATAATAAACAAAACTTTCCACTGAAAAGGGGAAACGTTGTGTCACATTCCCGACACAAGGAAAGTTAAATTTCCTTTTCCATACCTTTTATCTCAAAATTTTAGGGAAAACACTGGATGTTCGCCCCTCTAAACATCTCCACACATCCTGTTGACGTGTGGTAAAACCTTCATTCTAATTAGATGAAGACGTTACAATATGACGTATCATTTCCTCTGATCGAGGAGTTCGTCGAAGACCTTCAGAGAGAAAAAGTCTACTCCAAAAGCCCGAGAACCAGCTTCCTCCCAGAACCTTCCTCGCCGAAAGGTTGTTGAATTTAAGTACAGACGAAACCAAGATCTTCCACATTCGGATCTATCGTCACTTTCAATAGTTCGGACAAGAAACTCCAAATAATTATCTCTCCAATCCCGTACGAGGTAGTATACAAGATATAGAATTTATGTGGACACTCTCTTTCGCGAGTTAGGTTCAAATCGATTATCTTGTAGTATTGGTTTTTATTTATTTTACTAAATATTTTTATTATTTTAAAATGGCCCTATCGTTGTCTCGAATCCGAGCCTACATACACTCCACTTACTCGCAACCCCCCACTCGAAATTCCTCTCAAAAGAGTACGAGCGTGCCTAACGCTATATCTAAACTGGTGTCAGGAAAAATAAACTTGCAGGGGTTTCTCACGAACTTTTGTTTTTCATTACAAGTCTAAGAAAGCCATCCTTCGACTCTGCGGGCCAGTCCAACCGATTACGCTAACGGATAAGTAGCAAAGAGACTTACCCAGCCTCTCTACCACGGCTAGCCCCTGACAATATGAATATACATCTTGTATGTTGCAAATGCACTATTATACTTCGCAGACCTTTGCATTTCACAAGATGTAAGGAACTGCTTTTCTTATCTTGTGCAATTTTATTTTTTTCAGTTAAAGAATTCAACCATTTTCCTCTCTTAACAGCTTGTCCATTCTCCAAATTTATTACTATTTTCCTAGAATTTCGGGAAAACTTTTTAAATTACTTACAAAATATTATAACGACTTTAAAGTTAAACGTTGTTTCTTATAAATCGATTATAAAACACTAAAATTTCTGATAGTTTATTATAAAATTGAATTATATCATGATAATTTTAATACAACATTTATATGTATGTTATTTAGAATATAAGTACACAGACTACGAATACTGTCTTAGAGCTGCTTACACGGATGTTATCGATCCTAGGGACTTGACAATTGACGGGGAGCCATACGATGGCTCAGTACTTCAGACACGAAAGCAAGGAGTTAGTACTATGTATGTAAGTATAAAAATACAGAAAAAGGTAAGGAATATATAAAAAAAAAACGATCCTATAAAAATCAAATTTTGGAATTTAGGGTGATTCAGGCGGTCCTCTGATATACGAAGATAAGAATGGATGCAAAGTACAGCTTGGAGTTATAGGTGCTGGAACGTTAGAAGCCGGAGGTTTAAATATTTTTATGTCTACAAGCTACTTCTCAAATTTTATAAAAGAAAACAGCGAAGGAGAATTGACTTATGAAAATGTGTAAATAGTTAACTGATAGACACAAATGTTTACAAATTCTATGCAAAGTATGTAAAAATGTAATACATTAAAATGGAAATAGTGTACTAAGAATTGTTTTCATCAATTCCACGGGAAAGATTGTGTAAATACTGGTAAAAGTAAATGTAATGTTATATCGAAAAATAGTATATTGAACTTCTTTTAAAAGTGATGTTAAAAGTGAAGATCACATCCTTCATAAAACTGAAATTACTTTTGAGTATTCTTTGTTGCTAATTTAACTGGAAATAAAAATATGTTATACAGTATATTGGTTTGAATAAACTTCGCGAAATGTTTATGAATGAATTTAATCAGGGATCACACAGACCTGAGAGTGCGAGGAGCTTCTTAAAGGGTGCGAAACGATGATTAAAATTTTGTAATTTTAGCAATTAATTCGCAAGTTTTTAATCAATTGTTATTCATTAATGAGAGAATCTCTAAAAATTGTACAATCTCTATCTAACCTTAACAGAGATTTTGAAATAGCATAGAAACTAATATCCTAGAGGTATTCTAGTAAAAAAATTAGTGGCTTAAAGAACATAATTACATAATGCAGGATAATTTTTATTTGAAGTATTAAAAGACAGACTCGAAAAAAATTTTAATTTTTAATGTAAATCTTTACATCCTTTTTACAGTCCATCGCAGATGTAACAACAAACTGGCTCGAAAGGGCCCCAAAGTGCTCCAAGCAGTTCAATATGGCTTCAAGACACGGTATATACTGTATTGTGAAAAATTTTATCAGTGTTTTATTGTGAAAGCGCTGAATCCTACAATAAAAGGTCGGAATTTTGATCATTTTTAAATTTTTTAATGATCTATATTCGTGCTTTAATGAAGATTTATTATAGCTTCGAGCGAGTTTTGTTGTTACTTCTGGACTTTAATTTTGGATGTGAAACAACGGAATGCACTAGATCTGTAGAAGCTCTAAATCAGGGGTGTCCAATCCGCGGCCCAATAAACGTGTACACAAAACCGACAATTTTTATTATTACAGTACTTATTTATTTCAACGGTATAAACTCAAAAAAGGAGTTTCACAAAGCCGTAAACCTTTGTACATATTTTATTTTTGAGTGGAAAAGAAATATTTTCAAATACTTAGAAATGTGTGAATGAGGAAGGTATACTAAATAAAGCTGGAGTTGGCTCTCAAAGGAGTATAGATTCAAATTCGGGGAAAGGAGAGGAAGACCTAAAGATAAAAAGTAATGAGAAAGATTAAATAGACCTTCTGTTATGCGAATATACCCCCTTAATTTTCCAACCTTCCTCACTTCTTTATCTTTTGTCCTTTCTCTCCTTTTCCCTCATTTGGGTCTATAATCCTTTGAGTAACAACTCCAGCTTTATTTAGTATTCCTTTCAGCGTTGCAAGATTTGGCTACTTTGCACCAAATTTGGCTACCCTTTTATTAGTTTGATGTAAAAAATATCAGTTAGCACATTGGTTACTTTTTGGGCTACATATTATTTATAAATACAGTAGAGCGTCGATTTTCCGAAAGTCAATCATCCGAAAAAATTCCAGTCGGCAAATTTAAATTTTCGCCAGTGCTGTGGCGCTTCAATCTTTGGCTACGTCTTGGGCTACTCAAATATTTTACGTTTTTGATACTAAATTAACATCTGAAGTATAATTTTTTATTATTTTTATATTTTTCAATATATTTATTTTGTTTGTACAAAATAAAAAAATAATTTTTAACGATACAATAGTCTTCGTTAGGCTTAAAATCAACGAAAATTCAACGCGAAGTGACATGCAACGGAGAAAAATTTCGACATCGGATACGTTAAACTATTTTTTCGTACGTAAATCAGTTATCCGAAATATCAGTTATCCGGACAACCCCAGTCCCCAATTGATTCGGAAAATCGACGCTCTACTGTATATTAGTTGAATAAAAATGCACTTTAAAATGGTGTTTCGTCGTTTTTTATTAATTAGAGACCCAAATAAAACAAATATTTGTGTTTTTCAAATAAATTTTTGTTCGTCTCCTTTATAATAAATGAATTTATCTATTTCTAAATAAAAATTGAAAGTGTGTGTAAAAGAAATTTTTAAAAATATTCTTCTTTGTGGTGAACTTTTAATACTTATTATTATAATCTAGACATGTTAATCCTTAAATATACTTATATATTTAAGGATTGGGCCAAAATATACTTGTGGCCCAAAACTCCATGACTTCTTCCAATGTGGCCCAGAAAAACAAAAAGGTTGGACATCCCTGTTTTAATTATTAAGATAGATGGATTCTGGAACATATTGCTTATGTTTATTGCTCAGTTTAAATTAGATACGGGGAGACTATCTGCTGTTTGACGTGATAATTAAGTTCTTTTTTGTCTTATAGGTAAGCCCTTCTTTTTTACTATGTCTCAAGAAGTAAAGAGGAAGACTTTTTCACCGACTGTTCCAGAAAGAACACCGAGTAGACCTAGAATGAGTAGTTCTGGCCAAAATGAGGAGGCTGTGGTATTATTATAAAATCTGAGTTTTGATGTATCGGAAGGTGTTCGTTCATCATTGCTTATGCATGCTGCTCTTAATAGCAAGGTGGATTTTATAAGGCGACTCAACCGTCTAACAGAATGGCTTAAGAATGTCGATGAGGCACTCGTTGATTTTGAGGTCAGATTAGTTTATATTGAGGCAAAGGTGGGTTCGGTTGGGTTGGAGCGGGGAGTTTCTCCTTCATTGATAATCTCTCTCTCTCTCTCTCTCTCTATATATATATATATATATAAACGGACGTGTGTGTCACTATATTTCACTTTTCCGCCAAAAATACACATCGCACATGAATGGTGTTTGTATGTGGTAGTAGCCCCAAGTCTCCATTCGTGCACTATGGTGGTTGCGTCTCGATAGCTATAAGGGTGCGGGAGATATGGGGCTGAAAGTGGTTTTCTATTTCGAATTTTATGTTCGAATATCGTTCGAATTAAATTCGAACATAAAATTCAAATATTGGTTCGATTATAGAACGATCGTAAACGTTCCAGAAACGTTGAAAATAGTTCGTTTGACTGGATGTGAACAGGAGACGATCAGAAATAGAATCGGGACCAGGAAGTGTTAATATAAAGCGGCATGCCAAGATTTACAGGCGGTTTTTTGCGCTTTTGCGGGAAATCGAACATATTTTTATGCTCATGGAAAAATTATCTGGAAACGTCTGGAAACGGGAGACCTAATTCTTGCATTTTGTGAAAACGGATAAGATTGGCTATAATGTAATTATCTTAATCTTCACTATCGTTACTTTTTGCCCACAAATAAAAACCCAGCGAAGCGGGTCCTTGCAGCTAGATTCCAGATTGCTTAGAAAAACAGTATTTTATATATATATAAAAACTATATTACATACAAATGTACGAACAAATAAAAACCCAGCGAAGCGGGTCCTTGCAGCTAGTATTCGTATAAAAATGTCGAATATGAAACGTGAGATGGATTATATGGACAATCAGCGCAGAATTCATAATGTAGTCATAAATGGTTTGGAGGAAGGAGAGGGTTGGTTGGTTGCAGTTTTTTTTTGGCCCAAGGGCCACAAAAGACAAGCTGCGCCACGCAAAATGGTTAATTCGCCCAACTTAATACATATATATATTATAAAAAATAATAACTAAGACACAACGAGTATATACATAATAAGAACAATTATTTGTCAGTTTATTTCTTTTAATGATAAATTATCTTTTAAAACAGCAGTTTTTGAATCTCGTAATCTGAATGTATCTGTTAACGATGACTTTTCTCAACGATTAACATTAGGTATAAGTTAAGGATATTTAGAAGGCAGAAGAAATCTGTAAATGCTCATAGAATTATTTTAACCTATGATAAAATAATTATTGATGAAATGAAATATGGATTTGATGAGGATTCGGTAAAATTATTGCTGTTTCTACATAGCAATCAATGGTCCAGGCTACCTCTATAGTGGCTTGGAATTGCGTTGGTATTAAAAACATGCCAAATTTGTTTTGGAAGTATATATCGCAATTTGATGTAATTTTTTATATCTGAAGCATGGTATTCTTCTAATAGTAATAAAAGGAATTTGGAAGATCTATCGGATTATAATTATGTGTTATTGGTCATGCTTTCAGAGATGGTAATAGGAGTATATTTAAGGTTGGATAGTTGTTATTTATGAGTTAGTTTCTGTTATAAAGTAACTTATAGAGATGATAATATTTTTGGTTTTGATTAACATTATATTTCCCGTGGATGAATTTTTGATATGTTCTGTTATGCATGAGCATAGTTGGCAGGAAATTTGAGATTTTAATGAATTCTCACTTTAATGAAGATTCTAATTTAATTATTCTTGGTGTTTTTAATGCTCGGGTGGGTGAAGAAAATGTTGTCCCTGAATACATCGGTGATGCTTTTGGTGTTGATCTCGCTAAAAGAAGCAGGATATCTAAGGATGCTATCGTGAATAGCAGAGGTCAAAAGATACTTCAATTTTGTGAAATGTGTTAAATATTATTTTGTTGATGATTGTTGTTTGTCGGACCATTTTCCTTTGGTATTGTTTGGACAATCCATTACAACCTTAGGTGAACAATAAGGACAGTTTTCATGAATTTTTTTGGAATTTTGAGATAATGAACAGATTTGTGTCTGATTTTGAGAAACATTTGTTGGGAAGTGTTTCTTCATCACACGTAAGTTAGTCAATTTTTGAGTTAGCTAATTGCTGTAATATGAATTTTAAACCAAAGGATTGTGTGAGAGTCGAGTTTAGTGAATAAATTCGTTAAATAAAATTTTTGTTAAGGGAGGAAAAGAAAAAAAAATCTAACTTCAAACTGCTATAAAAAAAAGACATAAAAATCTTTTCCCACGAACTTAGTTCCTTGTCAAGTATGATACATCGAATGTGTCACCCGAAATCTCGAAAACGACTATTGGTCAGAGAAGAAAGAACAGTCCTAATAAGGCAGTGGAAAAAACCCAAAGAGACCCCCTTTATAAAAAGGAGGGGTCGAGACGGAAGAGTCAGTCTCTGGAAATTAGTGCGCACTGTGCATCATAACAGTAAAACGGATAAGTCGCTACCAGGAACTCGCTGTTCGAAGGGACTACGCCGACAACGTTCGAAGGAACTTTGTGATACTAAAAACCCGGTTCAACGTTCGAAGGAACTTTGTGAAGACCCATTAACGATTCAACCCAGGACTAATCAACGATTGGAACTAAGGTATTTATCCTCGCGCGAAATATATGTGAGCTCTCTCTCAGAAATACGGGTAACCGGTAAAAAGTTGATATGCTAATTAACCGATTGTATATAGCTATTGCGACTATAGATAAAATGAACAATAAACGGGCATTATGTATAGAGCATGTATAGTGTGATTCCTCTGGTTCTCTCGGTACGCCTCCATCCCGGAACTAAAAGTCCACAACGCGACCGTTCGCGTAAATAAACGGCCAATAACCCTTTTTTCTGTGTCTGTTAAAAGACACAGTGGTGTCATCCTGACAGGGCGCCAAAGAGGTGCCGACCCTGCGGTCACAATTGCATCAATATTAATAATTGGTTTGATTTAGATTGTCGTTTATTGATAAAAAATGAAAATAGAACTTGGCGAACTTTTAATATAAGTGGATTGGAATGACATTCTAAAATATTTGTTTTATTTCGTGGTTTGGTTAAGAAAATTTGCTTAGCCAAGAAAAAAAAGCTTTTGTATATGGTTCAGTATTCGGGTATTCTTCGTAATAATAATAAATGGTTTTGAATTTGTGTAAAATTAAAAATAATACTAGTACAGTGAATATCTCTTTTTGGAAAAGTGGTTTACATATATATATATTTTTTTATATGGTTCTTTACTTCCTTATACTGTAGATTTGTCAGTTTTCAATGAATGTTTAACTTGGTCTGACGAAATTTTGGATGTAGACATTACGGAATTTGAGTTGAGTAACGTTTTAAGTAAAGTTAAAGCTGGCTCTCTGCCTGGGGTTGATGGTATCTCTTTGGAAATTTGGAGGATGAATTCCGTTTTCCCGATATTGCTTAAAAGATTTGATAGAATCTTGAGATCTGGGAAAGTGCTATTTTATGCCCAGCATATAAAAATGGCTCTAAATCGATTCCCAGTAATTTAGAGAGGAATTTCTCTGCTAAATTTTGTCTCAAAGATTTTTTGTAATATACTGTATCATAGGTTGGTAACTCGATTAACTTTAAATAATATCTTATTTGAGAATCAGGCTGATTTTCGAGAAAAATATTCTACGATAGATAATGTTATTTTGCATTTGCATATTTTGCGTTCTATGCTGATTTCTCTCCAGCTTTTGATACCGTAGATAAGAACTTAATGTGAGAAAAACTCTTAAAATATGGTTTGAGTTTTACATGTTTTCTTTGCTTACAGAATTATATAGAGTCTAATGTTAGAATTAAATGGGCCTTCTTTGTTCTAGGCCTTTTTTTACTGCTACAGGTGTTAGACAAGGTTGTTTTGAGTCCTGTTTTCGTTTAGATTTAAATTATTGAATTGAACAGATAAATAAATAGTTCTGATTATAAAAGTATCGATGTGAATGGCACTAGTGTTAAAATATTGGCATATGCAGATGACATAGTTTTGATTGCCGACTCCGTTAGAGGTTTACAAGGATTTATTAATATTCTGGATAAATAGAAAGTAATATGAGTTTGAATCTTATAAAATTTGAAATTGTTGTTTTCCGTAATGCAGGTAAACTTGCTAAGTTTGATAAATGGTGGTTTAGAAAGGAGGTAATACAAGTAATTTCGCAATATAAATATCTGGGTGTTATATTTAAGTATAATGGAAAATATAAATACCAAGATATTTAATTTTTATGGAGTGTTCGCTATTATCTTTTTCCGTTGTAGTATTAAATAAGTGTTTGAATTGGATTTTTAGAACAAAGGAATTGGATGAAAAACGTTGGAGTAAAATGTGTTTATGTTATATTTTAAATAAGGAGGACTTTATATGAACCAAAAGTTTAAGGAATATTTATGTTAATAATGGCATTATTATTTAATAATTCATCAAAATTAATAACTGTTGTCCTTTACTGAAATTAATTTGATAACTTTATTTTGGACTTGAATCAGCATATTAGAGTGAGCTCTTACAATATTTGCTACAAGTATTTACATAAATCGTTTTTGGACCGTTTTGTTTATAATAACAATTTCTCTTTGCACCTAGTCGTAAAGATAAAAACAAACAAACAATTTCTCTTATAATATCAGTTCTACGATAATGCAAATTAGATGTAACTCTCTTAATTATTTGCAGAATTATTACAAAGGTATTTGCGTACATTACCAAGGTGATCAGTTATTGGATGCGTTTCATGTGATAGCTAGGTGTACTAGTTTAGAAAATCTATGTGAAAGTATTTTGTGTCTCTACTATTTCGTTTGAAAAAATTTTGGAACTTATTGTGGTCATTTGAGTAGACTGACCTATATTCTGATTTGTTTTGCATATTGGAGCATTCGATTTTGTCCAAAGGTAGCATTAGTTTTTCCTTTAAATGTGTTCATGGCTAAGAAATTTTGGGAAACTATCTGCTGTTTGACATGATAATTAGTTAGTTACATTAGGGTTTATTGGCGCAAGGGCCACATAGACCAAGCTGCGCCATGTCATATGGTAAAATAATATAATCTAATAACTATAAATTAATATAAAATGTAAAATATTAAATAAATAAATAAAATAATAAATAATAATACCAATAACAAAAATATATAACAGTACACATGTATATAATAACAACATATAAATAAATAAATAGATAAATAAATAATCAAATTTGTTTATAATAATTAGTGACTTTCAGAAAGTTCAACAATTTATCAAGATTTGGCCTCTGACCCAGAATCTCTTTAAAACTTGCATTTCCAAAATGCTGTCTACGTATCTTTTCAGAGGCAATGCAGTTGCAAAGCATGTGTTTAACACTTACAGTACAGTTACAATATCGGCATAATGGCTAATCTTCACCCTTCAAAAGGTATAGATGAGTCAACCGAGTATGCCCAATTCTCAAACGAGTAAGAATTACTTCAGATCTCCTGTCATAATGTTTGTTATGTGTCCAATTTTCTATATTCGGCTTGATCTCGTGTAGTTTATTGTGGATTTGTGCATTCCACATGTTTTGCCATTGCTCTGCTAGTCGTTTTTTAACTACTAGCTTCAAATCACTTCCTTCAATAAACATTTCATGCTGTGAAGGACTAGCTGCCTTTGCAGCTGCATCAGCTTCTTCGTTCCCTCTTACGCCGATGTGCCCAGGTACCCAACAAAATTTTATAGAGAGGTTCCTCGTAAAAAAATGGCAAATAAGATTATGAATTTTAATCACTATAGAGTGAGAACTAGGTTCGCACGAGATCAAAGCCTGAAGTGCACTAACTGAGTCAGTGTAAATCACACAGCAACGATGACCTTTCCTATTTATATATTTTAAAGCTAAATACGTGATAATTAACTTCTTTTTTTTTGTCTTATATAAAAACTTGACTACACCCCCTATAATTTGTTTTTTTATTGTTTGTATAGTTCTCCCCACAATTTTTATGTTGATATTTTGTTTAAAATATTACTTCTTATTATTGGTTTTGTATAATTTGTATTTTATTTATATATATTCTGCTTTTTTGTTCTCTGTATTAATCCATTAATTGTAATATTACTGTATTTTGTATTGTATATCTAATGATTGTGTTGTATATATTCCCCGCATCATGGGTTTTCCCAGTATGTCTAAATAAAAAAAGTTATATACAGTAACCATAAGTTGGTGAGTGCGTTCTCTTAAAAGTTATGATATTCCTACGTTAAACGATTTACTACATTTTTTTAGAAGTAGTGTTAGAACTCTTCATCCAACCAAATTTAACACTAGTGAAAAGTTTACATCTAGGGTTCTTTGTCATCTCAAATGAAGGGACAATATGTGTATTGTAAGGGAGACCATTCAGTATAGAAATATGCAAAATTTCAAGAGCTTAAGGTGAATGATAGAATAGAGTTTGTAAAAAGAAAAAACCTATGTTTTAATTGCTTGTTAAAAATCCACAATGGAGAAAAAACTGAAATGCCACATTTTGTTGTTTAAACTACAAGAGGAAACTTGTGTTATGCTAAAGAAAGAAATTCTATCTCCAGTGCTAATGTCGAGCCGAGACAAAAAAGTACTTTTCCATCCATTAGTGCGAAAGCATTCACTGCCAGGTCATTTAAGCGGGAAAACTATTGCATAAAATTTATACAATTAGCAATTTGTGGGCGTTTTTACATAGTGATAATGTATTGCAGGCTGGAAGCCGATTACAAAATGCTAATATATATTTTTATTTAAAAAACATCCTGCTATATTATATGCTAAACATTCGTTAACTAAAACTATTTTACTTTATTTCCATAAGATATACAGTAGACTCCCCTATAAAACAGATTCATATAATTCTGATTCGTATATAATGGCGAAAAAATTGCGACCGTATTCATATAAACACGCTAAAGAAACTCGTATAATTCGGTAAAACATCATCTCCGACTCGTGACAGGATTGGTCGAATCTATACCAATAGCGGATATTGCACAAACCATTGAGTTTGAACGGACCTTCTAAAAACCATTTATTATTTAATGGCCATAAAAATTATATTTATATTAATGATGTCTCCAAAGTTCAGCGAATTTTTCGCAGAAAAATAATTTATCAGGAAACGCGCCCCCTCCATTCGATGCGCCACTCCGCGACGAAAACAAGCTTAAGCAATGGCGTCATCGAACGGTAAGTAATCCTACATTTTTTTGTTTATAGCATAGTTTATATGAATTATTATCAAGAAATTATATGTGTTTTGGAAATGGTGAGTCAAAGTAGTCTAGAATCGATTAATTTTATGGAAGAAAACCTTTCAAACAGCCATAGTCCGTAAACTGCTTACGTGCCGGGCAGTACACATTGGCTCATGTATTTAATTAAGGACTCGTAAAACATGAATTTCAAAAAGAATGGAACGTATCTCCGTGTTATAAGGAGTCGACTGTATTTACATCTTGATCGACAAGCTGTATTGTATCAAGTAAGACAGATAGTTTGGCCCTTAAATGGTAGATCGCTTTGTAGAAATATTGTTCATGGATGTATCACTTGTTTCAAGACTAAATCAGTCGCTTCGGAACAACTTCTAGGTAACCGACAGTACCTTATGAGACTAAATCAAAATTATGTTTTTATCTGTTCAGGGATTGATCTTAGTGGACATTTTCTTATAAAATATAACAAAGAAAGGACGTGTAACAATAAAATGTACTTATGCAATAAAGACCTTTTTCTAGACGTGGTAAAAGTGTCAAACTATTTAATGACAATGCAAGGACGTTTACTAGAGCTCAAAATGAGTTGAAGCAATTACATAACATGGTGAAAAATCCAAATGAAAAATTAGCTAATTACTTGTCCTCAAGAAATTCAGTGAAACTTTAAACCCCTAATTTTGGTGGATTGTAGGAGGCCAGAGTTAAATCCTTTAAATACAATTTTAAAGAGTTGAAGGAAGTGCGATATTCACATTGGAAGAATTTCTTACAATAACGAATCAAATAGAAGAAATTCTACATATTCGTCCCATTTTCCCTTCATCTTCTGATCCGGAAGATCTTGAAGGTCTGACATCTGCACATTTCCTTAGAGGTCGTCCAATTAATAGTATACAAGAAATTGATCTCAAGCTTTTATCAGACAACAGGGTTTCACATTAACAAAGAGTTACAAAATTAACTCTGTGAGGCCGGGACATCTCCCCAATGGGAAACTGGCTGTCGAGGTAAAGCCAATAAATCATTGACTATTAGAATCAACGTTCGCGATGTTTTGTAGATGTTCTTCTGACGTAATAAAAGGTTGGTGGCGCTCTTGACCCCTCGGGGAAGGTGACCTCATTTCACTCTCCCCTTTCTAGCACAGACCTTCCGTGACTAAAGACTGTGTGTAATCTTTGTGCACTCTCTGTTCCTTTGTTACACAACCAGTTACGTTAATCCAACTGCTTTTTTACTAATCTCTCCGACAAGCAACATCTAGTTTAACATTGACTTATTTTGTAAACAGGACCATGGCTGTAAAGGAGAGGGATGCGACACGATTTAATTGTCGCATTTCCAGACAAAATTGACACTTACCCAGTCATAGATCATATGAAACAGCGGGAAATCGACGATTAGGGCGAGTTCAGCAGTTATTTTTCACCGAGTTCAAGGCGGAAATTTGCGTTTCCTCCTTCCCAGCCGCCGCCTCCAGAGGAGGCGGCGGCTGGGACTGATTGGACCCAGCTGCACCTTCTCCGAGTAAGAGAAACACATTAGAACAAAATTTACGTCACTCGGGGAAGGGCATGGTCCGATTTCAAAGGGCAATGGCCTGAACAGGTATGTTCAGCTATCCTGCGACCCGAATCAGGCCCCTGGAAATAAAGAGGGACAAATCGAGTGATAAGAGACCACCATTCGTACAAGCAAAAAGCGGAATTTCGGGTAAAAAATGACATAAAAGCCTGAAATCCAGGACACAATGAAGTTTTGGAACTGGTCAGTCCACCATCATCTCTGCATAGGATTAAGCCAAGGATCGAGGACGACCCCATTAGGCTAAGTGTGAGTGCGAACGACTACTCTGGCCTCTGCCCATACCCGCCAGAAAAACTTTTTCTGAACTTCGTAAAGTGTCCTTGGAGACAAACTTTTTCCAGGACTCCAAGAAAGAAGATTGTATGGACGAACTCTCCTACGCTTCTTTTGGCATCTCCAATGGGATAGCAGTCTTGTCAACTATTTGTAAGCATGTCTATTACTTAAATAAACCCCCATACGCCAAAAGACTTCTCGCGTCATCCTGACCGAGAAAAGCGAAGGTCAATAGACCTCTCACCTAAGTCAAGTGGCATCGAACTCTAAAACCTCACAATCCTTACGATTCATCTAGATATACGTACTTTATAGGAGATCTGTCACACGTTTTGAAAAATATCTGTGCTGCCCTGTTAAATAATGTAAATATTATTCTATCAGCTGAAACTATTCATAAATATAATCTTTCAACGAATGTTGTAGATCTGCATCATGTTATTAATTTAGCTAACTATCAATGTTGTGAGTTGAAGTTAGCACCTCAACATACTTTACAGCATCTTAGTACATATAATTTTCTGAAAATAAGGGTTAATGTTGCCTTGAAATTTTTTAATCGTAATACTAGTACTGCATTGCGATACATGATGGATGAAGTTGGTTGGAGTAGAAATGTTGAAACTACAGCTTAGTTTATTAAAGTTATTGTGAAATGGTTTAATTTCATGTCATAAAGATGTCCTGTTACAGCGCTCAGTCTTCACGATAAGAACAAATATGACAAATCGGTTGTCTTCTTAAAATTTTCAATGCCCTCAACAATTGGAAGTGGTTGGAATCCAGTACAGTTGGGGCTATATTGTCTACCACTTCAGTTTTAGATTTAGCACAGTTACTATTACAGAAGCATAGTTTCCTTTTTTTTTATTTTTTACATCCAGGTACAGTCAGAATTTCCTTGAAAATTTATTCTCGTGCATTAAAAAAAATAATCCTGCACTAACTGCACTTGAATTCAAGAATAACCTGCAATTGACGACCATTGCTCAGTAACTAAAAGCTCCTTCATCTTCAAATTATGATGATGATGATGGGAAATTCCTTCAAGTTTTTAGATAACTCTCAGAACAGTCCAGTTACAGAAAGTTGCTTCATCGATGATGAATTTATGTGTAAAGGAGAATAGCAGGTAAACAATATGAAACTTGAGCAAGATTTCATGTATTTTCTTGCAGCATATGCCATAAGCAAGTAAACATTGAAGACTGCCACGGTAACAGTTGGTCACAGTCAATTGAAACTAAAACTACAGAGACTATACTTCAACATATACAAAAGCTGATAAATGCGAAAGAATTTTAAAAAAGTGCACTGACATATCCAACAATTTTGTCATAGAGTATAATATGCTCCTATGGGTAAAGGAGTTGCTATTTACCTGTGCTGAAGAAAAATTTTCCTCTATAAATGCCAGTAATGTGGAAAAACAATTTCTTAAATCAGGTTAAGGAATTGGCACAAAAACAATTTCCACAATGTCATGACATTAAAAGGCATTTATTGAATATATTTTTAAGTAAGATTTCGTATGTTTCAGCTAGAATTGCGAAAGAAAATAAATGATGCAGGTATAAAAAATATAAAAAGTCTAGTTTTTCAAGTAAATCCATGTCAGGATACAAAACGTACAAAAAATTAATTAAATTAGTAGAATCGTTGTTTATTGTCTTAAAAAATTATTCAGTGATTCTCTGCATTCCTTCTGTTACATTTTGGTACTCAACCAAATGCAATAGTGCTCTNTCCGGTAAATCAAAAATTCAAAATCCGGATAACCGAAAATTACGGTTTTAAGCAAATAATTTAAAAAGGGGTGGGATTTAAAAGTCCTACTTGACGTTATGTCAATCCTCTTGCCTTCCGATATACGTAAACACTAAATATAATATCCTCCGACCTGAATTACCGCAAAAATCACAAAATAATCACAGAGCACATTTGTAGCATCCAATCCTCGAACATTTCTTTTATCAAAACCTTAGAAAAACACTCAAGGAGACTATCCAATTTCTTTTTGAAAGAGTAATATAAATTGTTTTTTCTTTTTCTAGAAGGGTCAGTTGCATATGTGGTGTGGCCGACTCGCCATTCGATGCATTTCATATTATCGCTGTTTGTACTTTTTTATCAAAATTACGTGAGCATTTGGGGTTCCCTGTTTTTCATTTAATCAATTTAAAAAAGTTATTTCTGATTTTGATTTATTTTTAAGGCTTAAAGCAAAAATAGTGGTTATTTTATGTAAATTTCGTCTTGGAACGTGGTCTGCCTATTATTTAACCTGTGGTTGCATGGACTGCTTGGGAGACTATCCGATTTCTTTTTAAGTGATATAAATTGTTGTTTTTCTTTTTCTAGGTAAGTTTTAACCTAGTTGGTTGTTAATTTGTTTCAGATAGTTCTCTCATGTAGTTATTTAAGTTTTTTGTTTTTTTATTGAATTTAGTTTAGAATGAATTATGAATTGTTGTGATGGTGCTGCAGACTTTTACTGTATCATTAAAATTAAAATAATTAATAACTTTAGAATATTGATTTATTTTATGTAATTTTTTAATTTACAAAAGTTTGATGTTATATTTAAGAATATCTAATAGATATATATTTTTAGTTTAGTTATGTAGAGAATAACAGTATGCTGAGTAAAAAACTCCCCATTCAATGTCGTGAAAAGCTAAATATGTTTGATTCGTTTCATGTAATGGTCACTTTTAATTGATCTTTCATTCCTGGACAAACTGTATATTATATTTTTATTAACCTGCAGGTCATTACTTAGTGCATACTTTTGCGTTTTAGTTTCACATTTCCTTAATTATCATAAAAGCTTTATACATAGTTTTTTGTTTGCAGGCGTATTGAGATGGATGAGTCCTGAAATTCCTGGAGAGCTCAGTCACATTGATGGCAATTTAACAGCGCCAATTACGCTGATATTTTAGAAAATGACTTAATGTCATTTCTACACACTCTATATGGGCAGACATTGTTTGGCCTTTGTGTAGGATAAATCACCGATACATATGGCGAATCTTACACAAGAATGGCTGTAGAAACATGACCATCTGATACTGCTGAAGTGGCTGTGGAAAGATGCTGATCTGAATTTGATAAAAATCTGTGGGCTGAGGTCTTCAATAGTTACAGATCTAATAAAAGTTTAGTGCAGTTTGACTATTTTTAACAAGGAAATACTTCATGAAACGAAATATTTATCGAAATTATTTTACGTTTCGACAATTCTGATTAACATTTTGGTAAATTTTAAAACTTAAATATTATTTTTACGATGCTGTAAACAACTTTAGAATTTTAATCGCTTTAGAAATATTTTTACAATTGAAACAGAAAAACACCAATTATAACACAGGTTTTAATTTAATCGACTTTTTCTTAACTTCGTAAGAGTATTGTATGAAAAAACTAAAATCAATCAAAACTGACAGAATTGTTAAGTGATAAACAAAGTGTTCTATTATTCTTATATTTATATAACTGAAATAATAACATTGTCTGAGATTACATAGAGGACTTTGTTTTAGACAAGAATAAAACTCTTAGCGCTTTGTTTACAGTAGATATGAGTGTGATATCTTAATGTAGCTTACACCCTCCCTGAAAACTAATAAACATTTACTATTTTAAGTAAAAAATAAAAGTTTTACATGGCCAACGATTATTTAATATTCATAAAATAAAAGAATGACTCTTACAAAAAAATTTTTGTTTCAGTCATTTCTTTCGTTGTTCGCATCATCAGCAGTTCATAAAATCACAAACTCACTGGACATGATGCTCTCTTCGGAACCATCGGAATATAAAGTAAATTGAGAATTTCTGAAGGCCACGGTTTTAACCCCGTTTACATGGTGAGTTTCAATCTGTCCATTTGCAAATTCTATAATTTGTAGTCCATCCTGGTAAATTGTCTGTGCGGTGCCTGTTTCGGAATAATAATACATAATTCTTGTAGTAGTGTCACAGGGTGGCAACACTCTTCCCTACAGTAGTAGTCTCTTGGTCTGGCAGCACTGTTTCTTGCTGCATTTGATTTGTAACGGTCGCATGTTTTAGACACGAATAAAACCTTTTGGTAAGGTAACGTCTTTGTCTCTTTATACTACAATTTATTCGTGTCTAAAACTACTTGGGATGGATAGTCTTCTTAAACCTGAACGTTTTAATGTTGATCCGAATATTAGTGGTTCCTCTCAGCAGTGGTCCCACTGGTACAGAACATTCAAAAACTTTGTTTCGTCAATGGAAATGGACGATGTGAGGAGGTTCAGTCTACGGTAAGATTTACCCTCCGAATGAGGGGGTAGCCACCCCCGCCAACGGGTAGCCCTCCCCCGTACGAACAATAAATGTCTAATGAACCACCCCCCTACGCGCGACCCTTCGCGAGATATAAGCCCCTGAAGTTTCGGCTACGTCATTTCCGGTCACGTGACATCGTGGTCAAAAGGCAGTCTACCGCGCGAAAAAAAATTTTAACGCGCTCTCGCTAACCCCTTGCTTAGGTCTGTCTCTCCTCGCGCTTCCCCGCTCCGTCTTCGCCGTCTGTCCCTTCTGCATTCCCTTCTGCGCCGGCCCACAGTCCACGTCACCCGCCTGAAGTCATCCGTAGTCGCCATCTATTGCCTGTAGATATAACTATACATTATTATTTATTAGTCTTACCTTGGCCGGGCCGCGAACCCGGGTCTATGTTGACTGTAGTCCAAGCCTTTGTCCACTAGTCCAGCACGTCGTCTTACCAGAAACATTTCGGAACTCATATTTGAGACAAATGAGCCCAACGACAGCACTGCGCATGACAGCCAAATCACGTGGTTGTTCCTCAGCCATAGAGATGCAGCGCACTCCGAGAGCCAATGGGACGCGGGTCACGTGACACTCGGACCGCCCCCCGAGGCTCCGCAAGCCAATGGGTGCCGACCGCGGGTCACGTGACACTCGTAACGGTTTTCGGCGGTTATATAAGCCGTAGTCTCCTTCATATCCTCGAACCCAATATCGTATTTGTTACTATAACGAACATGCCATATAGTTGTGATTTTTCGGCGCCCCCCGTTATTGACCCCGCCACAATATTTAATAATATAACATCTTACAGTTTTCTTCGCTATCTCCCCACCGGAGAGGCTGCACAGAAGTTTGGTACTTGTGGGCTAGTGCCATATCCAGACCTAACCGGTTTCTTTCCGCCATGTGCTAAGTGCGGAGGTAAGCCTTACCTCAATTCCCGCGTTTACACGAGTGCTATCTGCAGCTATCTGGGTTAATGTTATTAATGGTTCGAAAATGGCGTCGCTTCGGTTAGGTTCGTTTCGTTTTCGTTACATTAGCTACATTTTTAACCGTCTGGACCACAAACAGGAAATCATCGGTGGAGGCATGATTTGCTCTCTTTCTCGTAAGTTTGTTTATTTCCTGTCCGTCTACTCATTTTCTTTTTCTGCTGGACTTTTTCACAGCGGTAGACGAATCCGAACCTGCCAGATGGAGCCGGTTCCTTCCGCACAATGCCTACAAATTACGACAAAAATATCGAAAAACTAGTAAATTGGAATATTGGCAGTTAATGTTTACCAATGCTACTATTAACTTGCGTGGTCAAATATCGAAACACGATAGCGGTTTCAATGTTATCCACGGTTTCAAAATGGCCGTATTTTCGACTGTGGTCCAAAGATTTTTTATGTCGCTTTTCACATTGCGGGCTTTATTTTCATGGTTGGTTCGACCCGCGTTTGTATGTTTTCTCTTCGCCTTACGCGGGCTTTATTTTGACGTACGAAAGTTTTTGCTTACTTTCTAAAAACAGTTTGTTTTTGTCGTTTTTTTTTTTTGGTTGGTTCGACCTGCGTTTGTATGTTTTCTCTTCGCTCTACGCGGGCTTTCTTTTCACGGTGAATTCGACCGTCTTTGACCCAAGTCTGTATTTTTTTGCTTTGTTTCTAACAAAAGTTTGTTTATGTCGGTATTTTTTGGTTGGTGTCATTTCTCCTACGGCATTTCACATTGCGGCCTTTTATTTCACGGGGAATCAACTGTGGACG